CACTTGGGGGATATACATTACAACATTTAGCGATAATGGAGCATTATGTCTGCAAATAGTTCATTGTACCAGGTACTATATTTTATATGTGTGTTTAGAAGAGTTTTAAAAAGCATGGCAAATGTTTTGCAAGTCTTGAATTATTTGGGTATAGAATTGTTATATGCATAAGTACTGGCCAAATCAAACTATTTCAAATTATTTAATGTTGTCTTAAGGAGCCCTAGTGACACAGTAGGTTAAGCATTGCGTGGTTCAAACCCACCAGCTGCACTGCAGGAGAAAGATGCTTTATCTGCTCCCATGAAGTTGAACAGCCTTGGAAAATAATCTACTGACCTATAGGATTGTTCAGTGGCCTTAAGTCTGACTGGGCTTGAGTTTTGTCCTACTACTGATTGTATTTTAAGCATACCTATTGAAATAATGTACTAATCTCCCTTCGTACAGTAATGTATCCATTTAGAATTAATTATCCTGCAGATGATAAACAAACCAGTGATCTTGAATTCATACTTGGCACCTAAATTACTTTATAACAGTGGAGTCTTCCAAAGTCAAATTACATTTTGCCGGGAATGAAATTAACCTAGTCATATACATGTGCTAAACAATAGCTGTACAAGTGCCAAAGCTGGCAATGGCTTCTAGTGCTGTCGCAACGGCTAAACCCCAAGTAATACACAGGGGGAGTTTTCAGTGATTGCCTGTGGGAATAGTTGGGTATTCTTTCTGCTGTTTCTAAAGCATTTTCTCAGCTCCAAATTTCAACCATTCCTCAAATGGCTGCAAATGCTGAGAGGTCCTAAGGAGAGCTAAAAACACATGTGAAGTATCACATTAGAGAAGCAGCTCGGCTGAGGCTTAGCAAGTGCTTTTAAATTCTACCCTTTCTTCCTATCGTGTCCAGCTCCAATGCCCATCCCCAACGAAAATAATGTCTCCTCACATATTTCAGAGAGAGAGAGAGGGAGAATTCGTGAAACTTACTCCTCACTTTATGGTCACAAATCATATACAGTGTCCTGTTTTAACTTTACAACAGCCCTCTGAAGACAGGCAGGACTAGTATTATCCCCATTACAGAGATGAGAAAATTGGTGCTGGGGGTATGGTGGTGAGCATAGTGGTCTTCCGTGATGAGAAAATTGAAGTCCAAGAGTAAAGACTTTCCCAGGATTTTTGATCCTGCAAGGACTGAATTGAGAGCCAGAACCCATGTCTTTCTCTGTCCAGAAAGGAGAGAATGGCAAACAGTGCTGCAAAGTTTTCAAGCTAAGTTAAGTGTGAGAATAAAACTGGAAACAAAGAATCTCAAGTACGTCTCATTGAAGAAGCAGATGAGATGCTTCCTGTGAGAATATATATATACATCACTCAGTATTGTAAGTAAAACAGGGCTCTGGGGAGATGACTTTAAACCCCAGCAAAACTGCATACCAGGCACATGAACTTCACGGAGAAGTCTTTTAACCTCTTCCTTGTGCCTTGTGTAAAACTGTTCTTTCAGAGTTAAGATAATCTAATGAGAACAAACTTGCGTACATTATAAAGCCCTCTACATGTACTATTTAACATTATCTATATAAAATTGAATTCTTCGTGACTTCAGGAGACCAGTTCTTTGTGTGTTGAGTAAATGGCACCCAGCAGTTTGCAGCAAAATCCTAATCTCTTTCCTGTTGCTTACTTTTTATCAACTTGAACTCCTTCCAGGTAAAGTCTAAACGCACTATCTTAAAAAGTCTTCTCATGACCTGGCCGCCTCATCTGATGTTTTTTCTATATCTCTCTCAAGCCTCCCATAAATATCATGTATCTTAACATTTCTGAAAATTCTAACTCCCTACATGTGCCATACGGTTCTTCCTGAAATATCCTTACTACCTATCTTCATCTGGCTAATTCCTGTGTCCTCTTCAAGCTCAGCCAAAGAACTCTTCAAAGTGCTTCCCAAATCCTCCAGTTACAAGTAAATACACTGCTTCTAGACTTTCATTGGCCCCAGACACCCATCCAGGCCAGTCTTTGCCATGTTGCACCAAGTATTAGTTGTCTCTCCCTCTAGATCCAGACTGCCCAGGTGAACTTTGTGCAGTGATGGGCTGTACTAGCCAATATGGCAGTCACTAACTATGTGTGACTACTGAGTACTTGAGCTATGGCTAGTGTAACTAAAGAACTATGTTTTACATTTAATTTTAATTATATTAAATTTAAATAGTCTTCTGTGGCTACTAGCTACGGTTTAGACGGCACAGTTCTAGACAGACCGTCACCTCTCTGGGGACAAGGACCATGTTTTCTGGTCTCTGTACCCCTAGCACCCACCACAGGCTTGGCACTGACTGCAATGCAGTGCTTGTTGACAGAATAAGTGAACACGTACAGATCCACGTACACTTTTGCGTGGGACATGAAGCCACTAAATTACTATAAGCATTCTATATTGCCTTATTAAATTTGGCCAATCATGGTCCCATTTTGTACACCTCATTAACTATATCGGGGAAAAACAAAAACAAAAAGCCTTGGCATAGTATTCACTTCTATTCAAGGCACTTTAACTTCCTAATCACACTTAAATGACTTCCAGATGACTTCTAGACAAACATTTACGGTTTATGAAATTTTGCAATAGTTGTAGCAGCATCATTTTGGAATGTCAGAATCAACTACAACATTTTATGAAAGAAAAACCATAGCTTTTACCATGCTTATATTAACTTGGAAAACAAATTCCTTTAACTGCCTAAAGAATTCCTAGCATATAAAGACTAGTTTGACCTATTCTTTTAAGTTATCCATCAGCTCTCCTAACTGAATTCATTTCTGAAATGCCATACAGGATTTGGCAAAGGTAAACTGACTTGATTGAATGGGCTTCATCACTGTGATAGAGTTAAGAAGAGAACCTGACCTAGCTACAAAGAACTAGCAGTCAAATTTAATTTGGTTTCAATTAAAAGTCACGGTAGAGAGAATTCACGATGTTGACATATGCTTGGTCATTTGAGATTTTACGAAATCTAAGATGTGAACTTGACAAAGTAGAGATTAACCAGGTTTGACTCCATCCAGATCCTTCTATAAAATCCTTCAGGTGTAATTGGCCATCAAAGGCATCAACAAAAGGTCATCTGCACTCCATGGGCCCCTCTAAACAAGGAGATTTTCTCCACTTACTATCTGGTGTCATCACCCATCATTCAATTGTTGCACAAGGACGGAACAACCACTCTTCATCACATAATTACTTCTGTCAAGAGAGCATAATCCTTAAACCTAAAACAACCCTGAAGTCTATTTCTAAGTGAAAGAGAACAGAACAGGTACAGAATTTGAAGTTTAATGAAGTTTCCAACTACATAGTTCACTCATCTTAAAATTTTTCATTAAAAGTAAATGCATTCTTATTCTAATGAATAATGTTCACTATAGGAAAAAATACAGAAGGGCAAAAATAAAATACATTATACACTTAAATTTCTTTGCCCCCAGAGATCACATTTGGTGTGCACTACAGCTTTTAAACACTCTTTCCCTGTAAACGTTGATACTACTAAAATAAATTTGAGCTAGCATTTTCATAGTGCTCAGTTTCAGGCACTCTGCATTCACTAGAACACTGTGAGGGAGGGTTATTATCTTCAACGTACAGATGAAGAAACGAAGCAGAGTAAAATTAAGTAACTTGACCCAGTTCACAAGCTTATAAATGGCAAATACCGTAATCTCTGTTCAGTTGTTGCTATGGGAGCATCAGGTTCAACTAAGCAGTGTGGGAAGTAAAATGCTCTCCTTTAAGTTTATTAAATCCTTAACTGAGATTTCAATAGCTTATTCGAAGCAGGTAGTACAATCAGTATGTTTTCTATTTAAGTCCTGTACTCCATTTCGGGAGACGGACTAAGCTAAGCTAAGGGCATTCACAGAATTTGTATCTAATACTGACCATGTGGGCAATAGGATATAATCTATAATATAAATGTTTGCCCTTTTAGCGCTATTTGTCTTTGATGTTCTCAGTTATCAATCTGTCATCATCTTACCGCCATATACTACATTTTCTATTAACTTGGCCTCTAAAAACTCATATTTAACCTGATGCAAGTCTCATGTTTTCTCACTTGGATTTAAAATATATATAGTTATATTTCCCAATTGAGATAACTCCCAATTCCTTTAAAACTTAAAAGTGCCTATTTCAATTATGAATTCCAAAAAAAGTATGGAGGAAAAAAATCACACGGGTTAAAACAACATGGAAAATTCTTACCACATGCAAACTGTTAATCTATCCAAATCCATCCATCTCCCCAGTCCAAATATCAGACCTGTTTCAAAGGTCCAGCCTCTTCATGCCTCCCTTTATCACCCACTGATCACTTTTCTCAGCCCCAAACATGTTCCCAGAAATTGGAAAAGAGAGAAGCAACTGAGCAGTTCGGCAGCATTCTTATAGCTACAATGGTGAGAGCCACAGATGATGTTCCAAGTCACCTCCACTGTCCAAGAACCACCTCTAACCATACGCAGCTTTCTGCTAACTGTTGTCATTGCCCGTTGCATCATGACCATGAAATACCTAGTATATTTTTGCATGGTTGCATTACCCATACAGCAACTCCTTTGACAACAATAGTAATTACATAGCAGCCGTGTTATCTGAGGATAGCACTGTAATTAACTTTTGTCACTGCAGCATTCTTGGCTAAAATAATTGCAGCAAAAAAGTTGGGGGGGAAGGCCCTGCGAAAGTAGCATTTTTTATATCTGGCTTTCAAAAATAGCTTCACTTAAAAAAAAAACAAACTAAGATCCCACTCCCTAACACACACACACACACACACACACACACACACACACACACACACGCATTCCTCTGTGCAAAGCAAATTTTCCAGAACAGCAAACACCAGACTCCCTTCTGTTGCATAAACTTCTAAAGAATATAGCAAATAAATGCTATAATATAAGTAAATGTAAGTAATACTTACAGCTCTTCCAGAAAAGGAAAATTCTTAAATGCATCTTCTGGCAATTGAGTAATGTTGTTCATACTGATGTCCCTGGAAAACATAAAGTTAAAAAGATCATTAACTAGGTGTTATTAGACTTATAGCATTTAATTCAATTTAAAAGTAATTGAGCACTGAAAATTTGTAGAGGAAAAAAAAAGACCATGGGAAGTAAAACCTAGCAATAGTCAAAATTTGGCTTCAGAATGCAATGATGGAGCAAATACAAAACAATTCATTCTTTTATTACAAACAGGATTATGTAATTTAGAAACATCCAATATGATTCTTTCTTTACCCAGACCCTGGATCTTCCCAAGTTAAGTATCTTGGAAAATATGATTTCAAATGACCTAAAATGAGCAGACCGATGTGGCTCAAAGTACAGAGGCTGATGTCAATGTGTGCGTACAATACAGGGCTTGATAAATATATTTTCATGGCTTCTGGACCCCACTGTCAAAGATAATAAAAATATGTCCTTGCTCTCCCACAGTCAAATTTTCTGTAAAATGTATAAAAGACCTCCAGGTACTAGTTGTAAGTGGATTTCATTTTCAGCCCATGAACAGATGCAGGCTAGAGACGGACAAGTGCATACACGACAGGTATGCAGTCAGACTCCAGCTTCTCCTTCCACAGTCAGCGGAAAGGAGGGAACTCACTCGACGACACAACTCAACAATTAGCCAGTCCCAACAGCTACGAAACACTTCTTTAACCATTTCCTCCTTCCCCAGTAGCTGCCTCATGAACTCATTTTCGCGTTCTACACTCAATAGCAACACCATGAAAGATAAGTCAACAGAGCCCCTCAAAGGGAAAGCCCCAGGATGCACTGGGTCAGCATCTCACTCAGGTTCCTCTGCCTCGCATCTAGTGTTCAATTCAATGATGGATTTCTCCCTTCTCTCCTCTCCTGAAATCAGCATAAAAAATTCACATATGTGGCATTTCAATGACGAGATTCAACATACTGCTCTAAGGAGGCAGAAAAGAAATCAAGCACACCAAGTCCGCGAGCAACAAACATGTATGTCACTTTCATCTTTTCAGTCAAGTGGGAAAGCAGCAAGAGAGGCGAGTCCTACTTTTGACCTAGTGTCTGTCCAGCTCTTGGTGACCCAGGCCGTGTGCTGTATAAACTATGGGATTTTAGAATGTCCTCTCAGGGCTACAGCATCTTTCCGAGTCACACCAGAAGGGTTCGGTGTGGAAACCCCCCTAAGTGAAGCAGGTTTAAGGAACTGGCACACTACTCTGAACCTAAGGCTGAGCCGCCCTGGTGTGAGAAGTCCACGACTGCTACCTCAAGTGTACTGGACGTGCTGGTCATTGAACTTTGATTCGGCTCTCTTGCTTGGAGGGTGTTCAAAGAATGGTGGTCGGCGACTACCATATACTAATTTTAATACCTTCTTTGCTTTTTTACGACATGCATTAATCTGGTATGCATATTTCTGCCTTTGTGAATGATTGTTATTGAAAGTATGAGATATAAAGAGGTAGAAAAGAGTGGTTAGTCAGTTAAGAGTTAAATCTGTACAAGTCAACAACTCATGTATTTGAAGACATCTACTTGTATAATTTCCTTTTCTCAACAGTGTTTGAAATTCTATTCCATTGGCTAAATGACACTATCAACAGGATTACCTATGCCCCAGGGAGATGGTTGATAATGTTTTCTATCATAAAATAATAATGAAATTTCTAAAATGAACCACAAATATATGTAAACCATAGATATTTAAATGGATTTGGGGCTCACATTTCATTCTTGCCCCAATTTAGAAAAAATTAGTTCTTATGCCACGGCCCTGCTCAATGTTCACCCTCCTGAAGAGGGCATTAAAGATATGGGTATGGTGAAGATAGCAAGTGTGGTGGAAAAACCATGGTACCTGGCTATCAGAAAGAATAGCAGCTGGAGTTTGAAAGGCTTATCTTCAAACAAGCAGCCATCTAAGTGAGGCATCAACTAAGTTTGCATGATAGAAATACACGAGCCTGTGTGATCCAAGGATTGTAAATAATAAAATCTAAATCCAAGGAGAGAACGGTATCAGAGCTTAAATTGTGAACACCCAGTTTGCAGAAGGCTATGTGTGATAATGGAAGCCCCAAATCCATTTGCAGGGTTCCCACATGGATTAAGCCTCTGGTGAATCCACTCTGACCATAGTTAAGGAATGTAAATAGCCTTTCAACTATCTGACAAAGAACACTGTGAAGTCGATCATGGCAGATATAGTTAAAGAGTAATACACCTTATCACTTGATTTCCATTTTGACCCATTTTAAATTTGTTTCAGTTTTTAATGCTTTCTCCCTTTTTTTGAACGAGGCTTTTCTGTGTTTTCGGTGCTAGTCTTTATCATTAGGATTTTTAGTTTTTATTTGCTTCCTGTTTGGATTTTGTATGATTTCCTGCATATGAAATCCAGGATAGGTAGCTCCAAAGAGACAGTAACTCAGTTTGACAACTGCTTAAGGGCATAGCATGGCAGGAAGTGGGGACATAAGGAGCTAAGAACAATGAGGATAAGAAGAAAATGTTCTGAAATTAATCTTAGTAACGATTGCACAAATCTACTTAATATGACTGAATTAAATTGCATGATATGTGAAGTATATGCCAATAAAACTCTTTTTTAAAAAGACTGGTGAGTCCTTTCTCCCTGAATGTCCTTACATTAAGATTCAAGAAAGGAATCTTACTCCTTCTTAATAGCCCTTCTTAAATAGGTTTGGACAAGCTTTTTTACTTATGTATCTATTTATTTATTAATCATTTTACTGGGGGCTCATACAGCTCTTATAACAATTCATACATCCATTGTGTCAAGCACATTTGTTGCCATCATCATTCTCTAAACATTTTCTTTCTACTTGAGC